CGATAACGATACACCTGTGCTGTGCTGTGGTCATAAGGGGCAAAACTACCTAGCCGCCCCATTAACTCACCGATAGGAGGTTGATGGGCAGTTGGAGCACAGAAGTGTCTTTCAACATCGCTGTCACCGTCCTTTAGCATCGACTTTAGACTGGAAAACATGCCCATGCTTAATTTGGCTTTATCGGAAAGGCGGAGAATAAGTGCTGCTGAGAAACAAAGCGGAAAGGGGGTGAACTCGTTGGGTGCAGGACCTTTTGGTTGTTGTTTAGAGTTCTCGAAGCCCTGTACTCGGCCGTGCCAAGATTCTTTATGGAAACCATGACGTCACTGCAGCCAATTTCAATGAACTAGATTGTCGGCATCTCCGGACCTACTGGCACACAACACTTTCCAACCCTCGCTATGCTATGTTTACAATCATCCATGGAAATGGGGCTAGCCGATTAATTGCACCTGTATATAATATGGCGTACATTACTCGGTCCTCATCGAGAACAGAGACAAAAAGCCAACCTGAATGCTGATATGCCCTTTCGGTGAGGGAAGAATCCCAATAATAGGCGAGGGCAGCAATACCGATAGTGGTATATCACCGTATGGTTTGATATCGCCAACTCCTACTCAGAAACCCACCACATGCGACTGGCCCATGCTCCACAATTCATTCTGCAACTACCACACGTTTGCCTCAACTTTGCCTGCATTGATAGATCCATTGACTCTGGATTGCTACCGCTTTCAGGCTGTGAGTACACGCTTACACAGGGTGGCATAGTCCACAAAAACAGGATATTTGTGCGGCCACTCTTATGTCCGTAGCAGTCCTAGAGATGATTCTGTCTTTGACACAAGTCATGAGTCTTTATTCATCTCTAGCCATGGATATCGTTGCCAATACAGCACTCGACGAGAAGCCCAATCTACACGGGTTCTCGATTCTGGAAAGCTACTAGGGCAGAAATCATGATTCGAGGTACAGTATGGCTGCAAATGACTTCATTTTCAAGGGAATACACTGGAACAAGGTTGAGCTGTCTCATGAACCAACGATAATAGGAGTAGATTCGGTTTCTACTTTATTCACAAAGCTAGCTCTACCTGTTACTCGGAACTATATCTTTTCGATAACAACATGACGTGCACACCAACCGTGGTAGAGCTGTTTACTTTCATGTAGCTAATTCTCAATGGGGCCAATCCAAGTGCAATCAACCCATGATCCATGCAGAGCGATACTCCGCTATCATGACTGAGCAAGTACTGAACTGGCGTAGACCTATTTTAGTCACACAATGGAAAAGCTGCAAATATTATTACTCCCAAGAGCATTTCAGGGGGCAGCCAATCTATGCATATCGCCTCTTGCTAACATTTCCCACCAATCCCATGCACTGTTGCGAAGAAAGCTAGAGTTGAGCTGGTTTTGAATAGTTTGTCCGAATGCCGGCATCTCCAATTTGAGTATGAGTTTGTGGAAATCAAAAAGCAGATCTATATCGTCTTTACAGTCCAAGGATTCTTATTCGGCTGACAGGGCTTGGGTGTGGTGCTATCATCTCTGAGATACGCATACTTTTATCCAGGTTCGTTCCATTGTCTTGTGTAAAAGAAAGCATACATCGAGAAAAGCATGGTCTATATTTTCAGTAAACGCCATAGCAGATTGGGCTGTGAGTAGGCAGCCTCGATGTACTATCTGCCTCCTCAACATTCTGCCCAATCGAGTTGCATTCGACATTTCCATGTGCTCATGCCAGATGCAATCGCTGATGGAGAGCCTTCTTTCTGAAGGACGGGGCTCTTTACAGCTGCATGCACACGGTGCACAGATCCTCTCCCTCGTATTCTATATTTGGCAATGTGTGAGAATCGCTTTCCAAGATGTAGGCCAGTAGGCACCAGCAAATAACATGTTAAAAACAGGATTAGTAAGGACCTTCATTTTTCTGTCCAGATAATAGTATGAGTGTATTCTTGATTGCTGACATACAGCTTCAAATGGCCTGAGGGGGTAGGTGTGGGCATACAACCTGTGGGATATATAAATGGTCCACTTTTCCACACAACCCCCCAGTATTCTTTACTCCCGTTAACACTACTCTTCTCATTAACCTACCCCAAGTCTAATCCTCAATATGAACTTCTTCAACGTCCCTGCCAGCGCCCTTCTTGCGATTGTCTTGCTTGTTGGTGTCGCTAGCGCTAACCCAGTCGAGCTTGACGAGCGTGGTCGCATCTGCTGCGGCTACTCTGGTGGCCGTTGCCTCCTCTGCGAATAAATCTATCAAAACCGTATGGGTAGATATATGGTCCATTAAATGCTCTTCTTTTTAACACTGCTTTCCTTGGGATTCACAATATATCCAGTATTTATAAAAGTATTCTTCTGCCAGGATTTTGGATTTAGCCAGCACTCTCTCTGACTCCACACCCTAGGAACGCATGTTCCCAGCATGGGTGCAGCATTCAGGCTCGCCCAGTACCTTCATATGTTGAAATCGCCGAGCTATAGTCCCTACCGTGACAGCAGTCGTGTGCTGTCTGGAGGGCTGTATATCGCAGGAGCTGTAACCCACCGTGCGAATGGCTATATGCTCACAACAAGCGCCAGGCGACAGATATCCAGGGGTTCAGTCAGATTGTCATGAGCATCAGATACCTCGCCTGGAGTAAAGTTGATGGCCTGCAACTTGACACTGTCTGCAGCAACCACCAAAAACATATACCTGGTTTTGGTGCCTCTGCCATCCAGCGTCTCTCAGTGGCTAACATTAGAAACTGCACTTTTGGCAGAAATTCACACTGCGAGGAGCAGCAGCTTTTCATTTCACTCATCTTGGATCATTTTCCATCCACGCAATCCTGAGGCACTTTCCCAGCAAAACCCAGTCCAAAACAGAGCAGCAGCACCCCATTTCCCATGTCTGAGAACATTCATAATTGGTAACCCGGTATGCCCCGGCCAGAAGGTACTCTCACTATTCCACAGCGCTCCATTAGAGCACTGCCATCTACAGCTCCTGCAAGTACTACATGAGTCTCCAGAATCTGGCGCTGCCTATTTCTGCACCTGGTTTGACGACCGGCTCGCGATTGAGGACGGCAATGCCTCCAGCACAGAAGGATCCGATAGCGAGGACAACCCAGAGTACTACACTGATAGCGGTAGCAGCCCTGACTGGAGAGTAGGGATACGCGATGGCTATGGTGTATACATGCCAGATCCAGGCAGGATACTGGCCTATTCTTTCCCCTGGATTGGTGTGTTCTCTGAAAAGGCGTAGGCTGTCGGATCTGCCTATGAGGAGAAGCAGGAGGATGGAACACGACCATGCACCAGGTGTTTCATGGCCTGCGCCAGAAACAGCAGACACCCAGCCAGCCAGCAGCATATTGGAGCAGCCTGATATTGGGACTGGAGGAGATGGTGCAAGGGAGACAATCATTGAGACTGTTCAGCAACTGCCAGGTATTCGCAAGGCTTCTGTAGTCGACGAGTATGTACCAGCGGTCCAGAAGGACATCAGTCTCTTAGGGGCTGCCTATTGAGGTAGGTATTTTCCAAAAGCAGATGTATAGTCAGCGCACGTGTATCCTCCTACACTCACGTCGACATGTCTATTGGTGAGCAAAAAGGCTGGAGATGTTAGATACCGCTTGTAAGCGCAACTGCCATGCAATTGACGAGCAGTGTGTGTCCAGATCTAAATGGCAGACAACCAAACAGGCAATCCACTGCAAATTGATGAGGTGACTGGAGAGAAAGGCAAAAGTCATGACAGGATCCACGAAGGCACGACCTAGATTTGGATATGAGCAACGGTAGCTTGGTGTAAGGTAGCAAGACCGCTGCATACAGTATAAGGGAGCAATAGGTAGAGAGATCATCGTCATCAAGGTGGGGACTGGAGGGAATCCAGTGATGGCGTCGTTCCCAGACTGAACACTGTATTTTAAAGAGGTTTCACGGTAAATGCACAGCTGTGCATATTTATTGAGTGTGGAGTTTAATGAGACTGATGCCTTTTACACATTAGAGTACTTGCTCAAGGAATACTCGACCAAGTACAATGAATTGTTCTTCTAACGTATCCCCAAAGGCATTTTAGGCTAGGATATGAGGATCAGCTCGAATGGGTGAGCTAAACAAGAAAAAAAGAGATATCTCGCATACAGACACTTTTTTTTGGTGCTCTACATTAATGATACCATATATTAGATCTAAGACCCTGAATGTGCCCTGGAGTGTTTACATATTCACATGACGTACACTACAGACATCACTCTTGTATTGTCTAAAGCGCTCTTTAGTTTTTATATTGATACTGGTTTATTTTATACTCTTAGCCATCCAATAGCCCAGGAATTTATTCTCTTATAATGGAAACATATTGTTGATATCTTCAGAGAGGGGATAATAAAATATATCTGAACAAGATAGACGCTGAAGTAACGTCTAATAGAATCGGGTTTGTATTTCGTAATCCTTATCTCAGGAGCAATAGTATAACATCCAGAGAAGTCCCTTGCGTATAGTTTTCTCACAAACACTCTCAAACTGGGCACCTTAGATCTGATACAAGCCAGCTTCTGTACACGATGCATCTCCATACCAGTCATCAAATTACTTTTGTCGCCACTAACAAAACACAGGGTTATGTTAAGATCGGGGAGACTGATTCCTCATGCTAATTGTGCCAATAATTATATAGTCGGATATTCCTACGGCCCACCAGAAACTAAAGAGAATCAATCGCTTAGCAGAAACTTGGGGTAAATGAGCTATCACCATGAGTGTCATTTTATATTGGTAGGTATGGAATGCTCGACTATCTGCTTCCTTATTTGCCCTCACTAGGGGAATTTTGTGTACCGTATATTGGATTCTATGCCCTCGAGGAATATTTAAAGAACCACAAAAGGAATGAGGAGGTTTGCTAATTTTATGTAAATGACGATAAAATTGAGTAATCTTAAACCAAATACATTTTGTAATATTGTTGTGTTTGTTGAATGTGTGGGATTTTAAAAGTTATATTTAATACTGAAGAAAAGAGAGAGAAGGGAATAGGCGAGTTGTGCAGGGGAGTTTTCAATACGGCCGTCTGTGCAACTTATCAGAGGCTACTCTACCTCCATATTGTAGGCTGTAGCGGGGCTCTCTTTGGCGCCTGGATTGCTGTCACCTGATTCGGCTGACATGTCGACGTCAGGGACAGCCGCAGCGGGCGCGCAACAATATGTCTATGCCGTTTTGGTCACTATGTTTTCGTGCCTGGGAACTGTGTCACGCCATAGCTGCATTGGTGTCTTAGCTGAGAACATAGGTGGAAAATCAAGCCCACTAGTATCGGCTCATCTTTGTTGACACAGCACATAGTCTACTAGAAGCAGCTTCTGCTCTACCATGGCAGCAATGTAGCTGTCCTCGTAAATAAATGTGGTAGGCTATTTGTCTGAGGAAACATAAAAGGTGCCAAACATCGAGTGCATCAGACTCCGAGATCCTCCCAACACAAGAATGGCTGGCAGATGCACTTGCCCCACCTAAAAAGAAGCACAGACATTCTTCCGCCGCCCTGTACTACACAAAGAGACCCAGATCTCAATGGGCACTGCAGACCACACCCGTGCTCCATTGTACTACAAAGCAACTCTTGCTATTATTTCACGATAAGCACTGTTTAACCATAGTACGGATTCTGCTGTCCTTGCTGCGCCATATACGCGTTCAACGCGCTGGAGTCGGCCTGCACGCCCAGCTGGTCTTGGCCCAACTCGGCCTGATCAGGGGCTGGCTGCGACGACTCCTTCGACCCGCCGTCCTTCTCGACCTTGACAGACTCCCTATATTTGACCAAGTACAGCTTCAGGGCCTCGGCGTAGTTTTCAAACCCCAGCGACTGCATCGCCCACAGAATGTCTTCGCCGTTGATGGTTTTCCGCTTCTCCTGCTGGCACCGGTCGCTGGCCTCGCTCGTAATGAAGGAAATAAATTCAGACACGCACTCCTGCACAGTCTCCTTTGCCTCCTTGGCTATCTTTGCGTTGTCTGGCAGGGACCGCTTCATGATCCGTGCCACGTTGGCGATAGGCAGGTAGCGGTCCTGCTCCTTTAGGTCCTCGTATTCCTCGGCGTGCTGGTCAGACATTTTTAGGAGAAACGTGTAATAAATTGCGAAATTACAAAAAGAGAGGAAAAATAAGCGTGAATGACGCGCCTTTGCCAACCCTGCTCCGCGTGTGCGCGATTCTGACAGCCCTTGATTTCCAGCCCAGCGCAATCACACAGGAGATCAGATTAGCGGCGATTTTCGTGTATTTCTAAATTTGGTATTTCTTGGCGACTATGCTGCAATATGCGAGGCAGGTGCTTGCTTTGCATGCTAGCTGAGGATCTGCTCCTGGAGTGACTGCAGGCTTTCCCACTACAGATGGCGTGGTTCGGCTCATTTCGGCTGTCCTTTGCTCCGAGCGCCGCTGAGAGAGCGACACAATTCTGCCGAAGCCAGCCTACTGCATATATTTTTGGGCAAATTGCTGATAAGCAGCAGCACAGTAAAAGGGGTGGGGCGATCATAAATCGTGCAGTGCCTGCTCGCAAGCCATCTTTCTGCTCTGCCGGTATTGGTCAGCTTAGAGGATGACAAGGGAGAGGAGCAATTTCGAACATCTGAAACTGCAGCATCAATCAGACCATGTGCCAAGAGCAATTACGTGGTGCATACAAAAGGCTTTGTTTGCTTGAGAATGGGGCAATTATTAAAAGCGAGCGACGAAATATAAAAAACGCAGGAATAAACGGCATGAAAAAGATTAGAAGAATCGCTAAGGGAGAGACGGAGAGGTGGTGGTGGAGATGCTCTAACTGGAATAAGGGATGGGGAAATAACGCAGTAATAAATAACGCAATGGTATGATGCTTTTACATGTACATTGAGGCCGCGTGCGAGTCGGCATCCTCGTCGGACTCGTCCTCGTCCATGTCGTGTTGCTCCTCGGCCACCCGATCGAGTGCGGCGTATGCAGGATCGATCATGATGGAGGGGATTTCAGGCGGCGGCGCGGCACAGCCCTTGAGGTGCGGGTTGTTGGGTCGCGGCGTGCGCTTTGGACGCAGCGTGTCCAGCAGCTTGAACAGCTTGGTGTATGTGGGCGTGCGCCATTCGAGGGTGCCCACTTTGACCTCGCCATCGTCGTCAGTGTGCTCGGGGCTCATGGCGCTCGGCACAAAGGCCAGATTCGGGTCGAACTCGTTTGGCAGGAACGGGTATTGCGTGCGGTCAAAGACCTTGCGTCGCCCGGCCGCCTTCTTGATTCGTCTAGCGCGGCGACGGTCGCGCTGCTGCTTGAGCAGAGCCTTGTCCTCGGTGGTCCGGTGCTTGGCTTTCAGCGAGCTAAAATACACGCTGAGCCCGTGCTCGATGCGTTCGACGGTGCCGCCATGGGCGTTGTAGAAGGCGTGGACAATCTGCTGCGTCACCTGTGCATTGCGCGGCGACTTGAACGACTGCTGGTAATCCCACTGCGTGTTGCCCGGCGACATAAAGTGCTGGTCGACGAAAGCGCGAATGTTTGCCTGGAACCGATTCTTTTCGAGCTTGAGCTGCGAGTAGCTTTGCTGTCCGGGCGGCGACAGCTTGGAGGACCCGGGCGTCGCGCTGCGCTGGTGCAGCATGTGGTGCGTCATCGAGGCTGGGGCCGACGACGGTGGCGCATGCGCCAGACCGCCGGGTGGGCCGTGTGGGGACATCATGGAGGCGGGGATCTGGCGACCCATGGCGAGCGACGGCTTGGACGTTGCCCCGCTGGTGTCGGGTCCGTGGGCGTGTCCTGGGGCGGAGGGCGGGCCTAGCATCGGCTGCTTCTGGGACAGCATTGCAGCCGACGCGCTGTTGGGCGCCTGGGAGGGGTGAACTGGCGATTGGCGGATTGGCGGTAAAGAGATGGATTGCTGCTGTTGCTGTTGCTGATGTTGCTGATGTTGCTGATGTTGTTGCTGTTGGGTCTGGTGTGGCGGCGCCGACGATGGCGGCGGGTGATAAGGGAACCGGGACTGGTACTGCTGCAGCGGCGGCGGCTTGCTGTGCTTTGGATGCGGCGGCGAGTGCGGGCGCGCCGACATGGGCATCTGCGGGGCCATGTACTTTGCCGGCTGGTGGAACGTGGTCTGCGGGCCGGCGGATCGCATGAGGCTGGGTGTCGAGAACCCTGGATTCCGTGCCAGCGCTGCAGGCGGTGGAAGCGAAATCGACATGGATTGTTGCGTGGGTGGCGGTGGCGTGTTATAGAAGCTGGTAGCAGGGTTTCCAGTGGCTGGACGATGATAATCGCGTGGGGATTGTTGCTGGGCACCGCCATGCTGGAGACGCGGCGACGCTGAGGGAGACCGCGCCTGCTGACTTGCTGGCGCGCTTGACTGTGCTGAGGAGTGCGGAAGCGCGGACAGGGGTGGCAGCGAATGATCGTGGGAGTCGCGCGGCGCGACAATGCTGGCCAGAGAATGGCCACTACGCCCCGTACCCAGCGATGCCAGCACCGTATCCATC